CTCACCCAAAGGGTATTGTAGAGACCATTCCCGGCAGAGAGTATATAAGATGTTCGAAACCAATCAAAACTAAAGGCCTTGAAGTTATCCATAAGCTTTCCTTGAGTCTCTTTTTCGAGATTACTTATCAGTTTTGGTGTCAAGTGTGATGTTATCAACTACAAATAAAATTAAAAACAGGCTAAAAGTGTGAGACTAGCATGCAACAACATTAATAACTCCAACATCAAAATGCAAAAAAAAAAAAAGAGAGATAGTTACACACTTACACTACGTCCCTAATCTCGAATATTCCTTTGTTAGCCTTCAAACTAAGATGTTCTCGTGTCACGCGGTCCATATCTTTTATTATCTTCCGCTTCAAATTCTCGGATCCCAAAAGACGCATACTGATTTGTTTGATGTGCTTGTGGATATTTCCTGTCTTGAAGAACAAGCTATCTTTTCCCAATGGTTTCACTAAACCATCGGGATAACTTAAATTGAAAGACTTGTTCTCTTGCCGTAAAATCTCCATGTTCACATCCATATCGGTCGAAACCACGGTTTTAACTCCAAGAATGTTCGTTCGAAACAATGGCCCATACCTTAAACACTCACACAACACACAAACATTTACATATAGACAAAACATACAAAATTTCATCTCTGTAAGGAAATGATATATATAGAGCGAAGAGGTTGAAATCTGACCTTAACATCTTTTTCTTGAGAAATGGGGAGATCTCGTAGAATCCATGAGGCTTAAAGTAATCGAGCGTCTCTCCGATGATCGGGAAGCCCATTGATCCTGGAGGTAACTTGCCATTAGACTTGGGGTTGGACCATCGGTACCACCAATGGCTAATCCTCACAACCACTAAGGCTATAACCCACAATCCTGTGATCCAAAAGAAGCTCATTTTTTTTTCTTTCTGATAAACTAAAACAAGCTCATGTTGTTGTATCTTGAACTATAAATTTGTGGGTCTTATATAGATGATGAATCCTATAGTTCACTAGAATATTACACGTGACAAAATTATACTTTATCAAAATCGCGATAATCATATTACACATTAACTATTTAATTTATGTCTTAAATGTATAAATAAATGAGAAACTTTCCATTTAAATTAATAACCCTGTTGTTATTCTAATTTTTCCAAATTTTCTTTTTTTACTTATACTAAAATGCATAAAATGTAAAATGGTAAACCAAAATACCTTGTGTCGGCAGAATTAATGCGATTTTCTTGTTTTGGATTGTCAACTTAGATGTGGCAAGAAAAAAAAGGGTTTGACAACTTAGAAAAATTATCGAAGAGGTTAAGCAATTTTTAAAAACATGCAAAGCATGGGCTTTTAGCCTTTTAGATCACGCAATATGATCAATCTTTTGGGGGCCGTATTTTACTGGAGATGGGGTCTAGAGTAGTGCTCTTAATTCATCTTTCTTAAGCATGGACATAGCTCCTTTTTATTGGGTCAATTAGATTAAAGTGTTACCTTTTAGTAAATGATTATAAACTTTCTT